AACGCATAATACGTACTATCGATTACATTGCTTACACGTGAAATAATTTACCTGATAAAAATCCGATAATTGTTCGTCAACCATTTTTTTGAGTGTTACGGTCAATTTATTCCATTCTGCTATATGTGTGCATCCATGGCGTAATGGCGTCATCTCTTGTACATTTGTTAACAGGGAATACTCTATCCATTGTATATACGCATCATATACGGCAGTTGTATTATTCCATGACTCTATGATAAATGAATCCAATGACTTGTTGCCAGTCGTCCAATCAGGAGGTGTTGGAGCTTTACAATCGAAACAGAATGTGCTTATCTTGGGGTTTATTCGCTGCATACACGCCAGACATAATCTACGTCCATAATATTCTTTTATTAGATAATACTTTTGTTTCTTTGTATCGTATGTAAATCCGATGGTAACCCAAACATCTTTGTTAAGAATATCCGGATGCTCGTCACATAACTAGTGGAAATGATGCATAATAAGATGTCAATATTTATTTAAACTATTCAATAAACATTAAAAACATGACGCATAAGTAAATAGTTTACCTTGGCATAATATAAATTATGTGTCTCATCTGTTATCTTAAGTGGAATCAATTTAACATCTGCCCAATTAGAAGCAGGTAGACCATCATGCAAGCTTGCGCAATCTCCCCCATCCCAAATACAATCTCGTGGAATCCATTCCAAATAGGCGTCATTTGGTGAGTTTGTTTGTAGTTGAGATTTCTTAATAAAGTCATCGAGTTGGTGATTGTTGCTAGTCCACCCATCGGATAATTGTTTATAACCACAAATGCACCACACGGGACTACATCGGAGTATTCCACATGTGGAGCAGAAGCCATATCGAGAATAGCAATGGTAAAAGTGTTTATGAGCAACCATGTAATAGTTATCGTCATTAGACTTGGTGAATCCATATATGAGTTGGTTGCGTTTGTTAAGCCATACGGAGTATCGTCTAAAGTTATTGTCATTGTTATTGCACTTGTGTGTTGGAAGTGAGTATATTCTAGCAAACTCACTCACAACTGTTGCTGTACATTCTTCGCCACTTCCAAGTAATACCAGCGTTATTGTCTCATCATCATGAATAGCGTAGTAAACGTTGTCAATTTGAGTAGGCTTTACGTTGGTGATTTCCTCGTAAGGTATCCAGTTGAGTCCTAAGTTTTCATTTACGCTTTCCAAGGAGGATCCAATCAAGTTGGCAACGGCTGGATTATTAGCAAATAACGACATGGTAATAGTTGAATTAAAAAATCTTATCTCTCAAGTTAAAGTGTCAACCCTTAATTGTGTTACATTGCACGCAAATCGATCGGGCCTCGAGTCTCAATTTGTATACCGTACGATAAGTTTACATTTGTAGGGTTCCTAATCGCTGCTGTTTTGGAGTCTGATAAAGATGTGCTGTTTCTCGATAATGGTGGTATTGATGTATTCAACTGAGCTTCGCCCTCTTATTATCAGTATTGATATGAGTTATGAATAGTGATTGATAATATATTAGTTATTGGGCTATAAAGTGTTGAGACGTAAGAACATAATCAACATTTCTAGACTTAATCCTTAATCTTCGTATGATGGAAGATTTAAGTTTGTTGTTGCCAAGTCAGAAATCTTTTTCTCTGCGCTTGAAAAAGCGTAATTTTCTTTTTCGTGGTTTGCTTTGTTTTCGAGATTGGGAATGTTCGTTTACAGTTGTAGCACATTCTCCCGAATCTGAGTCAGCTTCCGATGGTTACTGTTTTCAGGGGTGAGTGCAACCTTATGAGTTTCGTAGATTGCATGATTTTGAATGGTGATTGATATAGGCAGTGGAAGATTGTCGTTAGTGGTTATGAAATCGAAATTGTGTAATTCAACGTATAGCACGTTCTCGTGTGCATCTAATTCTCCCACGAATAAAATCTTGGAGCTTAATCTGGCTTTTTTAGTCCGCTCAAAGAGGTTTTTCTTGGTAACGTGATGATGGAATAGTATTTCGAATTCGGCCGATTTTACAGAAGAGCGACTTCGACTTCCTGAAACGTATTGTGTTGATTGACAATGAAAACAGCATATTATTCTGTATTTGAGTAGTCGTTTTTATAGTGCCGACAACCTTCAAACAAGTCCGTGCTCGTGGAACGCTTGTCGAAGATTTTGAAGAGCATGGGTAAATAGAGTTAGTTGACGATCATACACTCCTCGTCAGCATTTCTCGTGAACGTGACATTTGTATGCATTTATCTGTGGATGAAACGTTAGAAAATATGATTAGGTGGCAACAAAGACTTGGTAAACTGAACGCTAAGTGAAGAGACATACGGTAATGGTATTGTCGTTTAAGTAGTGATTTCTGCATACTTTTAAATGGACACACGAATAGGTTGATCAGCAAAGTTGAAGAATATGCCGTTAGCTTTAAGCCATTTGCCTTCGAATTTGGGTTGTTCATCGACAGTGAATACGTAAATTGCTGTGGATCTATATACACGAGCGAGCTTTTTTTTAAAAGTTATGTATGGGTGAAAAGTTGATGTGTTGATGAGCATTTGCAAAGAAGAGGGTATATATATATAAAAATATATAATGTGGTCTGGGCCAGTCCGATTTTGGATTGGGGATTTCGTTACGGGCCAGAAAATAACCATAATTAAATTAGGTCGGAAAATTTAATTAGTCTTATCAGTAGATCGCACAATAGATAAGTTTGAGGCAGCATATTTGCAAACTGCAGTCATAGGTATGGCTGAACGACATAAAAATTACTATATAGGAAAGTGTCGAATCGTAGGTGGCCCCAAGTTCCAATTTATTATCCTATGATTATGGTAGCCTTAATAATGTTGATGAGATCGAACAATAAATAAAATAATGTTATAAAAGTTACAAGTCCATATTTTTTTAACGCAAATCATAAATAATTTGTATTGTTAGATATGATAAGAAATTTACGGTAACAATAACATAGCGTAATTTTAATCCGTATTAATATGGAAAAAACTGAACAATAATTATACAAATAATATTGTGAAACGATTACAAATCTTGATTTAAGTATGAGGCGCATTAACGCGAAAAATAAGTACAAGCGTTTACTTGAGACAAGTTTATTTTTGATCAAGTCAACGAAAATAATAATATATTCCTACTGTACTGTCAGATTTTTAATTAGTTTACTCATTTTTGAGGAGAAAGGTAGGGGGAAAAGAAAAGATGTAGAGGAAAAGGAAACCCGTAATTGATAATTGATTGACGTGGTAAATTAAAAAGGAAATATGCAAACCAACTTGTAGTAATAAGTTGGGTGTAATAGGTAGAAATTTTTGTACACTATGAAAAAAGAGTTGAAAAGGGCATATAAATAACGATTTTATTTATTTTTATTTATTATTTTTTGGAAAATAGGCAGTTGAGCATGGATTATTCTACTGTAATTGCAAAGAAAATGACAAGGCAGAAATTTTAAGCAAAATCTATTATTATGTTCTACTTAAAAAAAGATGTCAATATTATTCCATAAAAAAAAATTTTTTTTCTAATTTTCTTTTGCTCTAAAGACATTGGCTGAATGTTGCTTAGTTGTCGTTATATAAATGATATAAGAACATGATCGATATAATGACCGTTTCATTGTACTACGGAATGAATATAGTTAAATGTGTGGTGTTTATTAGATATAATTATAATAATAAAGGAATCGAACTAGCAGAAGGTTGTATATTCAATCAGTCGCTGCTTTATTTTCTAGTCGACATGCATGTGTCTGTTGGACGAATTTAAAAATAAATATTGTCGTCGTTGAATTTTATTCAGTTACTATTACTATACGCTTTTAGGTATTTCACTGACTCACACTGCAGACGAATTTCACTGCCTTACGTTCTGTTACTTCGGCTTGGAGCTTTATAAAGTTTATATTTAGCTTTATAAACAATAAATATTGTCAGAAAATCAAATAATTTCAAAGATACAATTCCGTGGAACAATCTCAAACAAGTACATGAGAGCTAGACGATGGGATAAAGGTCGCTTACATATCTTCTTAATCCCCAATTTGATAAGGCGATAAATGTCTAAATGGTGATTGCCTAACTACTGGGGTAGTTCAATAATATACTGACGAGAATCAATTTCTGATTAGGGTTGTCAGATAAAAAGACAATGCGTTCAAATTGGTCAGTTTCATAAATGCCAGATCAAGTTCTTTAAAAGGTTTACGACACGTTGAAATACAATTGAAAGAACTGCAAGCTGTTTGGATTGGAACAAATTAATGTTCGTGACGCTCTTCTCTTTCTCATGCAATAGAGACGGCAGTTGGCGCATCGCTTGAGGTCTTGTCAGAATATTACGATGCGGCAGCACTTTGGTGTCCAATAAATCATTGTCGTAAAAAATGTCCACTACGCGTAATAAAACAATGCCTATAAATATGCAAACGAGTTTATTTTTATTGATGATCTTTTTGAAACAATGGCCTAATGATAATGAAATAATTGAAGCAGTACTCAATAGTAATAATAATGATGAAGAAGAAGAAGAGGAGGAGGAGTATAACGAAAGTATTTCTCATAATAAAGTTGTCAGTAAAATCAATAATATTCTCCGTTTTATCAATCAAACAATGACATTAAGGTAGATGGGTCTTTTATTCAAAGGCTATGCCGTTTTTTAAAAAAAAAAGACAGAATTAAACGCAAACGGCAGATGATTCTAGAGAACAAATAAAGTTTCGCTATCGCCGTCAAATAAGGACTGTCTTATAACGGGTGACTCTCGATATGAGAAAGGAATTTGCCAGGACCCGATCACTTTCTTATATCGAGAGCCATCTCCGTCACATCAAAAATGTTTCTATCTGCCCATAATAATAACGCGACAAAGACACTCGGAATCTCTGCAATATATTACGTCATTGGTCCAAGCAAGGAAAGATAAATTTCAAGACCTCAAAAGCAGGAACAAGACTGTACGAAGTTTCAAAGTACTTTCCCGATGATACCAGTTCCACCAGCCCCACCAAGAAAAATTACGCGATCACACGAGGGTGTACAGCTCAAACAAAAGCAAGACTTTGAGAGGCAAGGCATTGGATCAGGTGGAAAGATTGTGGTTATCCATCGATTATGTCAATTCGCGTACGAGCTCCTCAAATACGCGCTCTCCCTCCACGCTACGAAACTCGTGGTTTTCTTTGACAATTCAACGACCGACGAACGTAAGCTATCCGAAAATATCATTGCCATCAACACCGTCTTCATCTGCAAAATGCAAGGAAAAGAGCCGCGCAACATTGAAGAAAAGAAAAAAGGTCTCGACGATGAGAAAAAAAAAAAAAGAAAAACAGACGAAAGTGTGAACAGGACGCTGAGCGTGAGATTGTACCCGAATCATTCTCAGAAACGACTGCTGAAGGGATAGGATTGGTGAAATTGATCTATAACACCGCCATTGAATACCTGCAGGAAAGACGTTTCCTGATGAATGAGATCACTGAGAATCACGGTAATAATATTTACAAATGTACAATTGTAGCTTGATTATAAATAGGGATGTAAACGAAGCGTGGGGGGTGTTCCTTCGCGGTTACTATATGCGTGCAATATGTAGGAATTAGTAATCGTGCTTAGCAACGTCTAGTATTAATTATTATTAACAATCCATCCGAAGAGCTGCAGTGATTGTGACAGGAAAATAATTAAACAAATTGCATTATAAAGCATACATCACCCTGACAGCAAATAATTCTTTGCCAGGGAATGCAATATCCGCAAAAGTCAGATATAGACAAGAGTGAATTGGCTCCCCCAAGACAAATTAATTTGCAAGGTTATTTTGGCTTAGTCCTATTAAGAAACAACTCAATTTATTACGTAATTATCTTATTGAGTTCGCCTGCATAATTCCATAATACCTTTATTCTGCGTATTAAATTACAAATCACCTTTTGCGAGACTTTGCGTCACGATGTCTATCGTAGCTATCCTTTCTACGTCTCTTCCTGTATCTCTCATCTTCACTTTCAGATTCAGATTCAGATTCAGATGCAGTTTCAGATTCAGACTCGCTCTCACTTTCAGTTTCAGAACCACTTGCATCCGAGTCGGTCTCTGATCCTGGTGACGAGGAAGAATCATCTTCATCTGAGCCAGATGAAGAAGAAGAGAGTTTTCTTTTCTGCGTCATCAACAATTTTGGAGCATTCTATTGAGCATAAAAGAAAAAGAGAGAAGTCAAGTCGACAAAGCCATAAACTATAACGAATGCAGGGCTTTCAAGAGTCGTGAGTTCACACAAACACTGTACATGTGATGCAGATATTAAAATTACGGCGACAGACGATCATTCATAGTTGTGTCACATCACATCGACATGTACTTGTCATAACTGTTCAGGAAATTACTATATATTGACTCTGAGGGAGTATATAAGCTGAAAGTGATTGTGTCTATTCTTTCTATTGATCGTATTCCATTGACTTACCTTCAAATGCTCTCTTAACTCTTCGGTCAATGCACCGAGCCCAATGCTGGTAAAGTAGTTGATAGCAAATCGCATATTTTTCGGATTATCTGTCGGGAATAGTCCACCAACGAATGGCTTCATCTCGTCGCTTTGCAATCTCGTCCTCAACTTCATTACTCCAAGGTTGCTACTTAATTCTTCAAAAAGAATCTTTACAAAGATTCTCGAACTGCTGGTTGTGTCCTCCTCAGTCAATTGGATAGCCTTCATTACCTCCCATGAGATTGCATCTGTGGCAAGAAGATGACCGAAAAATTTGGAAATTTGCCGAAGACGATTTGTTTCGTATCGATGGATTGTCGTAAAGTATTGGACAAAACATTGCTCAAAGGATCTAGCCCAAACAATGTTCAATTTGGAGAGGCGCTCTCCAACTAGTCCGAAAAATTTCTCATAAGTGCGTTCTTGTGAACAACATTCTATTATCATGTTGGCGAGCTCCAGCTAGGAATTGATAAATGTAACACATTATCATTAGTATTAGGAGATCGATATAGTTATATTAATGTAATAGTTAAAAGCAATAAATAGAAAGATTTTATATTATTGCCTCACTTCAATTCAACTAACCTCTTGTCCTTCTTTTATATTTAATTTCATAAGTTTGTGACAACATTCTTCGTAATCTACACTTGATTTTATTGTCAAATATATTGTTCTTCTCAAATGTATTATGTTTGTATTAGTTCGATCATGAATTTCAATCTGTTGAGCAGCATCTAAAATAACAGACATCATTATCAACTCTGTATCATTTTGAAAAAGAAATATGCATGTTCATGCAAAACATTTACTCACCTTGGACGACGTTTTCATCGCTATCCTCCTCACTATCCTCATCGCTATCCCCTTCACTGTCTTCACTATCGTCCTCATCTTCGCCCAATATCTGTTTTTTTATTTCCTTATACTTATCTTCGTTTGTTAGGTAATCGGGGTCATATCTGAACACACCCAAATCCTCCTCCACATCCAACTCATCGTCAAGCGCAAGATGATGTATACACTGTTCGCCTTCCTCTACCAAATCCAGACCGTCCGGTATCATTGGATTTTCCTTGTATTTGTCTTTGCGTAATTGGAAAAGCACTTCAATCATATACTGCACTCTTTTATCTATACTACCCTCGTGAAGAATAGCACGAAAACGATCGTATACGCTGTTGTTAGCCTTTGGATTAACTTCAGCAAGAAGTGCACCTACTTCCCGCATAAAGCCAACAGCTATTTCGACTGAATCATTGGTAGGGCGTTCGAGAAGAAGGACAAGAATTTGGAGAGCGACTAGTTCGTCCAATACGCTTTGATTACAGAGATGCGCTAGGAATGTAGTCGTTGCCAAGCAGGCTGTCTGTTATGGTTGACGTATGTCGGTTAGTAAATCGAGCGGACATTCTTTAAAGAATTCATTTGATCGAGTCCAACTTAGAAATCCAAAAGTTCCAATGGCTTATTCTAAAGATTTACCTTATCATTTCTTCGATACGCCTTCCTAAACTGCACAACTAACCTCGTGCATAGTAATGCTCCTACTTGCGGAAATTTCGTATTAACAACAGAAACTAATGCGGCATACACAGGAGTAAACGGTAATGATGCAGCTTGAGCTTTCATAATAGATCGTGCAAAAAGACCGCGACCACGAATAAGATTCTCATTTATTAATTCAAATATAATATTTTTTATGTTTGATGTATTAACCTGATGGGTTAGTAGAGAAGACAATATTTTATTTTAGCAAAGCGTTGCAAACTCTGAGAAAAATCAGAACAAAGGCCATATGTAATTTGAATAAAGACCTTGTTGATCAAACCGTTTATACTCTTTTTCAGAGCTTCCCAAGTTATGCGCTGATATTCTGCCGAGTTCTTATCAGTAATCTGCTGCTGCATCATTCGCAGGCGCGCCGGCGGTATGTAGACACCACCGGCGCGAGTGTTTATTAGAGTCGTTTCGGTTTGTGCAGTCGACATTGTGTAAGATCTATAGCGATGTGATTGAGGTTTGGGTTGTAGAGACTCGCATACGACAACGCAACAAATACACTACGCCACAAATTACTTTTTAGGAAGTTCAAAAAATTCGACGCCACAGTTTAAAAAATCTTTAAAGATTCGCTTTGTTATTTGTTTGTAAAATAAAAGTTCCTCGCAATAGTCATTTGTTTGTAAAAGAAAAATCTTACAGTACAAATATTATTACCGCCATATTAATATATCAATTTCAAAATACAAATCGTATTATTATAAATGGTTTATTTTAGATTAAATGTTCGCAATAGATAATTCTGTAATACCGCAAACGCAACTATTTGATTATCTCAAAAAAATAACCATTGAATTAGCCTCAGTCGATACATTTACTCTGCGGTAGTCTAGTCTACGATTCCCTCTACATACTCAATGTACGCTCATTCCATCTTTCTCGGCTTAAACCTCAACATCAGTTCATAGCATTGATTCACAGATTCGCATTTGTATTTTGGCACAGTATCGGGTGTGGCCAATTCGGGATCATATTTACGGAATATCAAAGCAACAATGGTTTTCAGTTCTGTCATGGCCAACTGCCTTCCGGGACATATGCGCACACCACCTCCAAACATTTCAAGCGAGTATCTATCAATGTTATGGCTGTTGGGTTCCAAAAAGCGGTCAGGATTGAATTCCTTTGGATTAGACCAGTGTTTGGCGCTGTGTTGAATTCCAAGGGTGGAAATTACTATTTGCTGACCTTTCTGTATAAGTGGAATTATAGATATAGCAATTAGAATGGGAGTATTGTTTATCATAATTGACATGTGGTCAAACCGTATTTTTTTTTTACCTTGATGGAATATCCACCGATTACATCATCTTCTTCGGCCACACGGAGATTTATAGAAGTGACAGGCATGAGTCGACCAGTTTCCTTAATGACAGCGTCAGTATATACCAATTTACTCAAATCGTCATATGTGATTGGACAAGAAAGATCCGTTCCGAAGACCGTGTCAAGTTCTTGTCGGAGACGTGCTTTGACTTCTGGGTGCTTGATTACAAGGTAGACTATGAAGCAAGTCAAATTTGCCGTCTGTTTATTCGACAATTTGGACGATTTTAGTAAACATATAATCTGTCAATATTATACGACAACATCTTTTATCATACTGCTTACCGTATCAATACCACCACCCAGCATTTCTATCATACTAGCTTTAATATCTTCGTCTGTCATTGGCTCTTCGATGGTACCGTCCACCCGCTTCTGTGTCATATCCTTTGGTGTATTTACTGTAATCATCAATGTCAAGAAATCGGATTTCAATTGATTCTTATCCTGAATCTTTCTAATGTCTTCTCTTTTTTTTTGGATAATTTTCATCACGAATTCATGAAGCCAGTTTAGATTGTCCATGTGTTCTTTTGACTGACTACGTCCAGTAGGGGTTTTGGTGCGAATTATTTCAGGTGTGAGGATAAAGTATTTTATGGTGCTGGTAAATTTTTGTAATGCGGTAATGAATTTATCCGCTTCCTTGACCACTTCTGGAGGATATGGAGCTGGTTTGGATGGATTATAAGAGTTATATAATGAAGCCATCGTGCAAGCGTGCTGGTCCATTGCTATAAGGAATGTCATGTCTGCGGTAAATCGAGGCATCCAATCAGCAAAATTGAACTCTTTCTTGTCGAAGCCCAACTCCATAAAATATCCTTCCATATTGGCAAAGGCCTGCTGAACCCATTCTGTGGCTTGCCTAGAAAACTTTATTGTAGTAAGCGTCTGAGCGAACATTTTTCTATAAAAGTGCCATCGTTCTTTATTTCTATTAAATGCGATTCCATTAGATGATAGTCCTATTTCATCAATTCCGCTGTTGGGAAGGTTTCTGATAAAATACTTGTTGTTTTTTGATGCGGTCAATATATTTTCGACCAAGTCGGCTCGGGCCAGCCAAAGTTGTCTTTCGCTGCCGATATACACTTCCCATATGTCACCATATTTAGCTTGGGTTTCCAAGACCCACTTGTTAAAGTCGCCACTAAGAATTATTTGAACGACATTGCCAATTAAGGGCAGTGGAATTGGACCAGGGAATGGAGTTTCGCGGGTAAAATATAAGTAATAGAATCTAGTAATGTAAAGTATTAAAAGGGTACCGAATAGAATTGAGACATCCCAAAAAGAGAGAGAGAAAATTAGATGTGTCAATGTTGGCATGACGAATAAATGAATAAACCCGGTCTTTTTTATGTTTTATAGAAATAAAATTGGATACGTGAAATCGACCATCGACACGCGCCTTTTATAACAGACAAAATGACACCCATATTAAGTTTGACCGATGGGTAACTATGTTGCCAACCAATGAGGTTTATCCAGCATCCTTGCATAAAGAATTTCCCGGTAATTATATAACTGTTGAAAATAGCTAGCCAAGCATTACGTAAAACTGTAATATTGTCCTCTTTTCCTGTAAAGGGACGTTATCCGGTATATCTGATTGTCTGTGCGCAAATCCAACGCACCCTGAAAGTCATTCAATCGATATGAAGCATTTTGTGGTTAATTGCAAAGTTACACATGAAATGTGTCCACCAGAATTAGAATCTCACACAACATATTTGAAACTGAAACCATGAATAAATGCGAGTGATCTGGTTAATTAACGAGAGCGCCAAACAAAACCTTTACTCGTTTAAAAACAGAAAAACGATATTTCTTTTGTGCGACTCTCTCACATGTTCGTTACGTAACTTTGTATGCTAGCACTAGCATGCGAACAGCCAAGATTATACTAAGAATTGTGCTTTTACCAAGACATGCGTGAATAATAAACAAATAGAAGCAACACAGTGGAATAACAAAACTCCACTCTCATAAAACACGCAAATCAAATCGCAGATTAAGATAATGGAAAAGGCTTGCGAGTAAGTCTTGAAGTTGCATATCCTGCTCAACAATTACACATCAGCTGAGCATAATATTTGTTTTCAATTGTTAAGAGCAATCATAAAACCGTGGTCAAAAAATCCTATCTACATAACAATCATTCAAAGTATCTTCAATTCAACTATAACATTACTAATTACAATTAATATTAATAGTTGTCGCATGCCAATCTTTATTAGAGATGGAATGTTTTGTTCGGATAAACAAAATATCGTTATATACATGCATGGCTCTGAGTCAGGAATACAGTGCTTTTTTTTTGTTATACCGTTCCGTTAAATGCAATTGGTGATCTCAGTAATTGTGCCACCCACGTGGGGGGAGCAAAGTTCACCCGAGAATATCATCGTAGTACTAACTACGGAAAATTGAGCAGACGCTTGCTATTCTATGCCCAACTCTTTGTGGTTTAATTATGTATGCTAGACTTTGTCAAAAAAGAAGAAGAAAACCTGTGGATAAAATTAGTATTAGAGAATCATTGGTAGGCTTTCAAGGAAAAGTATAATAATAGTTTGAACCGAGTAAATTAGACTCGAAGACCTAAATCCAAAACATTGCTAATATTCCGCCAACTGTGAAGCATGTTATACATCAACGCTTTACCGATAAATGTTCAGATTAACTAACGCTAAAAAGAGTTTCTAACGAGGTTGAGGAAAAAGTCAGTTTAATTGCAAAATGAAGTAGTTGAGATGAATACTCTGTAGTAAGTCTCACTTGGCTTATTGCGAGAAATATCAGTATGTGTTTCTCTATCACATACAATTTATCGACATAGCTAAATAACAATTATTTAACTCCGCCCTTTTTGTGTAAAAACAATAATATAATACAAACCTGTTAAGTATCGATAATTTACAAATTGAGTTATTACGCGTTGAAGTTTTGCGAAAAATGGGGGTCGTTATTTACAGAACACATACGCTTGTCTTAAACTATACTTGGAGTAGAAGCATTAAAGAGAGAACTAGCGCCTCGTCTATGTTGCCAAAAACTTTATAGACAGTCAATGCTTCATACATACACACTCTCTATATTCTTGCGTTACACGGTTTTGTTCACTTTCCACTAAAATGAATCTCGCAATATATGCACACCTGTAATTTTCATGTAATTTTGTAACTACTATTATATGGGCTACTCGTACACACTAAAGTATTTAAATAAACCAAACATACGAAAGCTTACACAAGTATTATAAATTTTAACTTTGCGGTCGGAATAATTTACGAAGTGCCCTGTAACGACGTATCTATTGAAGCGCTTGACAAACTATCAGATATTTATATAATTGTAGTAAATTTATAACAACATTAAACAAATACCATGCTCCGCTAGAATAGTTTACTTCTTTTTGCAACAAAGAGCGAGTCGAAGAAATTCTTTCACAACAGCTTTGGCGCCCATAGGGCCCACAAAATCAATCATATAATTGTACTTGATTATTACAGTTAATTAATGCAACAACAATACCAATTTTTAGTCAATAACAGAGTAAACGGGTATTTTAGACTGCTGAAATTAAGATGGTCGAATTGTGTTGCGAACAAACGTTGTCGTTAATTAAAATTAGATGTGTTCTTACCAATCAGCCTGCGTTATCGTTGGATAGGATGTTTCGCAAGTCTTTTATTTAATAACACATAATCACTTCATTGTATTATTTATTTGTCAATTCTCTCGGTCTTGTCAAATAACTCCAAAGATACAAAAAGTATTAACAGCAATGCAAGGGTTAATCTAGTGCATAGAATAATTGTAACAAAATTATGGACAATGTTGATGACATAAATTACATTCTGCATGTTACACTCATCAAAGTGTGTCGCATCAAAGAAATAATCAACAAGCAAATTACTGGTGCTGAATAGCGACATTTTGTATCACAATTTTGACGTATGGAATCAAACAATAGACCAACTTTAATCTACATGTGTTTAATAAAAATTTGTTCTAACTAAAAGACACCGACTTTGCCTTGTTGTTGTCTTCAACTTACAACAAAATGGCAAAACATATGTTTTTAACCAAAAATCTAGAAAGCATCTTATTAATAAATAACATGGCATAATGTCTTAGTTATAACTTATACTGAACAGTAACATAGTAATTACTCTAATCTTCTACACAACAAGATTTACGTAAATTCTTCTCCGATGTTAAATTTACAATTTTGGCTCGAGTGCTGTTTTTTTCCCACAATACTCTATTCATTGCCTTTTCCCCCAGCAAACAAATTCTAGCAACCGTCGTATCACGGTTTAAAAATCTAAGTTACAGTATCAGATATCAATGCGATCTGATAAAATTTACGGTAATGTATAATAACTGTTTCGCACAGTTGCAAATAGTAAAAATGGTAAAGGGGAGAAGAAAAATATTTAGAGGTAAATCTCAAATTTGAACGCAAACTATGGTGCAGATCATCTAAAGCTCGAAATAAATTAACCAACTTTCA